TGCAGTCGTCTGTGTAATATATCTTTCGTAGCACAGCACAGTTACCAGGTGATGTTTCTCTTATCCTGAAATAAAGAAAAATGCATGATTCTGGTTCTTTTTAATGTGGGGACAAATCAAGAAGCAATAGCATTTTCTATTAACTACAATAAAAGTTTATTTTAAAATAACAAGGAAAAGTATTTTTAGAATATTTGTAAAAGTTGGGAGTTAGACAAACTGAGCTGTCCTCAATATTTATCATTTTCATTCACATTCAACACCATTCTTCATGTCTATAATTGAAATCAAATACACTAATGTGATTCTTCTTATGTTCCTTTACACCTTTCTTCTGGTGAGTGTATTTAAATCAAACTTACTGTAATTGTGAAGCTGCCCCATTTTCCAGCGTCCCTGGCTGACCGGGACCATTACGATAGACTCCAACCTATGACAATCCTTTTATGCTTGTGAAAAATCTCTATTCAAACAAAAAGAATTTTCACTTATATAGGCATGACAAAAGGCTTCATTTAAAGTAAAATTAGTGATGTCTTTCACAAGCTTCTCTGTTTTCAGAACACAGAGACTCCGAGACTCCAAACTGTCGAAGCCCCACAGGGAGCCGAGCACCATGTCAGAGCCCACAGCTCCCTCCAGCCCTCAGCCTTGGTCTGACCTGGCTCCTGCACACTGATACTCAGCAGCGTCACTCTCCTTGCGATGTGAACTAGGAACATTCTGACTTCGGCCTGTGTTTGGTCAGCACCATCCACAACAGGGAGAGGCTGGCAGCCATCCCCTGAGGGAGGGTCCTGTCCAGCAGCAGCAGGGCAGCCAGCAGGGGCGGGGACTCAGGACTGTGACACAGTCAGCAGTGGGGACACGATTCACCCACATCATTGACAGACACACGGGCAGGGAGGAAAGTGGACAGGGGACAACTAAGTGGACCTTAGCCTGAAAATTCTGAACCAGGAAGCTCCTTTGTCTCTGAGAAGATGACACTCACACCCCACCCCTGTTGCATTAAAGAAAGCAGGTTTTTAAATGTTATAGCAAAAAAATTCTGCAGTGAAAATTAGCAAACAGAAGATAAATGCAATGATGCAGAGGGTTCCTGGGGAATTATAGGGGAGTGAGAAGCAGGAAGAAAAGCATATACCACATGGTTGCATTGAAGTTCATAAATAAGGGAAAAAAAATTGAAATTGTGGGGAGCCATCAGTTTGTTTACTTTGGGCAACAGTCCAGACCCCGCCATCCTGGCCAGATGACCTCACTATGGATAGCTCAGCCAAGCAGGATCTGAGGGAGGAAAGTGAGATTCAGGACAGGCAGAAGTGCTTAGTGAAAGCCGGAGATGCAGACAGAGACCCCAATCCTGGCTCAGCCCTTTTATTTCCACAATCTCCGGCAGGCTTGATGCTTTCGTAACAGTTGGCACTGTGGAGGTATCGGGCGGTGCAGTCTTGGCAATATCAAGAAGCAACACAAATGTCAGCTCAATGTCCAGTCTGAAGGCCCCATGGGGAGACACCATCTTTCTATGCCTGAGACTATGGACTGTGCCTGCTTGGGTCATCCTGTGGGGTGGCTGTGGGGCTCAGGACTGTTGCCTCAGAGCACACGCCCCTGGCTCCCTACATGAAATTACATGTCAGTGTGAAATACACAGCAGGAGGGAAGGGAGAACAGTCAGGTGTCTGGGCGCCCCGGGGGGTCGGGCTTCTATTCATGATCTTTCCTACAGATACAATTTCCATTAATTTGATGATTAAGCTCTGATCAAAGTATGCTCACCATTCTTGATGTGTATGAAAGTCAAACTACGATGTCTATTTATATGCATGTATATATTTATATGGGAAACACGGTTCTCTAGGAAAGCTTGGGACTGGGATTTTCCAAGTATGCACTAAAGGTGCAAAAAGAGTAGGAATAGCCTAAAAGTCAAACAATGAATATTACAATAACTTTAAACTAAGATTAGTACAGAAATATGTATGAATCTATAAATATAAAATTGACAGCAGTAAGTCTAACTTATGTCATTAGTGGTGGGGACACTGAAATTCTTACCATTTCTTCATCATTGTCTATGAGGAGCAGCTGAGAGTTGTTTCTCTGACAGTCGGACACGCTCTCGTTCCAGGTTTTTGGTTCAGGACTGAAGTAATAGCAGCTGTTGGAGTACGTGAGCCACCCCTGTGGGCAAGGGCC